GAAAAATGAGAAATATTTCCAGTAGTTGTAGTTGGGTCTAAGTCAGGCAGAAGAATACCAATGGAAGTGGTGAGGGTCATTTAAAACCATGCATGTCCCTTAGGTCTTAGTGGGGACAGACTCTGACCTTGGCAGGATGATAAGTGGAATCATATCTCTAGTTTCAGTGATTCTCTTTCATACCCTTTATGGATGGAATTTATGTGTGTGTTAAATTTTCTGATTATATTTTTCTTTTTTTTCCAGCAAACCCTCTTTTTAGAGCATCTCCTGGTGGTACCATCAGAAATGTCTTCCTTAAGTGGGAAAGTCCAAACTGTTTTGGGCCCAGTGGAGCCCAGCAAACTGGGCCGCACCCTGACCCATGAACACTTGACCATGACCTTTGACTGCGCTTACTACCCACCTCCTCCAAGCCATGAAGCTATCTCCAAGGAACCTATCGTGATGAAAAATTTATTTTGGATTCAGAAAAACCCTTATTGCCATAAAGAGAACCTTCATTTGAATGAGGAAACGGAAGCTGTAAAGGAAGAATTGTTGTATTTTAAAGCTCAGGGCGGAGGGGCTTTGGTGGAGAACACGACCACCGGAATTAGTCGAGATGTGCGGACGTTGAAGCGGCTTGCAGAAGAGACCGGTGTCCACATCATAGCCGGAGCAGGGTTTTATGTGGATGCAACTCACTCTTTTGAGACCAGAGCCATGTCAGTGGAGCAGGTAGAAAGCCCCAAGTTCTTTAACAATATCTGTTTATAAATTCAGAATAGTCATCATCTTATCAATGCCATTGGCTCAGAGGTAGCTGGGCCATCCTGCAGGAATTTACTAGCTAGCAAAGACATCTGCCAATTGGGACTCAGATTAGGAACACTTTATTTCATAAAGAAAAAGTGTCAGGGAAAGAGATCTTAATGTACTGGTCATTGAAAAAAACCAACATTTTAATGCTTAGATCTCTGTATGTTGTATCTGTGCCCAGCAGTGGTGCCAGAGCCTGTTTGAAAACCTCACTTTTCCATTAGAAGCTTCAGTTATGCAACCTTGATTTTTTTCCCCTGGATTTTATAATAACCCTCAATAGAGATTCACTGTAGGGTAAAACCTGGCAGGCAGAGACTTGGCATATTTGTGAATATGTTTCCTTCACCTTTTACAAAGCAGGAAAGGTAGAAGAAAATTCACTCCCCTGTTTCTGACATAATATGATCTTAAGAATGGGCAGAAAGACGTAAATCATTTAGGGACAAAAAGAAGGAATACGCTGCAAAGCTTTTTTGTACATGTATGTGCTCTCTTTCTAAACACATGTATCTGTTTATATTGTTGATGCATGTATGTGTTTATTCTTATGTATCTTCCATTGCCTGTTTGATGGGCGTAGAATGTCAGCTGCACTCTTTGCAAAGGATCAATTACTCCTTAAAACACTTTGTATTTCAAAATTGTATCTGCATTATTTTCCTATCAGGTCTTTATTTTTTAATATATTTATGTTATTTGAAGACTATGCAAATGGCAGGTAT